CCGTGCCATCCCGTGCCGTGCCATCCCGTGCCGTGCCATCCCGTGCCTTACCTGGAACGGGGACCTCCAACCCAGGACCCTCATCCCACAGCACACTCAGTACCAGCCCCCGTCCCATCTCCTGCCTCACACGATACAGTCACAGAATGGTTGGGTTGGATGGGACCTCAAAGATTATCTGTTTCCAAGCTCCTGCCGTGGCTGGGGTTGCCAACAGCTAAATTAGGAACCAGGTGAGGCTACACTGGGTCCCATCCAAGCTGAATGCCTTCAGGGATAGGGCAACCACAGCATCTCCACACCAAGGCCCCATCCTGCACTCCAGCTGGTACTGGTGCCCCCATCCCATCCTGTGCCCACACCGAGTCCTGCTGTTCCTCCCCAAAGCTGACTCCTCTCCCTGGCTTTTCCAGTTGGGGTTTCAGGTTGGAAATCCCCACTGACACCCCTGGTAGTGCACTGGGTCCCCTTGGCAGCACAGTGTGTCAGTGCCACCTCTGAGCAGCTTTTGGGGATTTTCTCCCATGGCTGTGGCAACTCTTGGTGTGCTTGAGGCTGAGGGTGCTGCAGGGGGTTGGAAGGGAACTGGAGCAGAGGACCCCCATATGGTGTTTTCCCTTCTCATCTGCAGTGCACGTGGCTCCTCCGCAGCACTGGCCCTTCTAAGTGTGCCAAGCTGCCACCTGGGAACCCCCGGCAGTGACATCCCTGCAGGCTTTGCTGCTGTCATGTGGAGAGGCAGTGTGTGAGATAGGGGCTGTGCCAGCTGCCAGCACAGCTGCGGAGTGACATGAGCTGGGTAGCAGATGGGGATGCTGTGGCACTTTAGGTGACCACGTCTGAGTGCCAGGGGGTTGCAGGAAGAGGACAGGAGGTGGCACGGTGCTCAGCCCTCCCCTCCGTGTGGCTGCGTGGGCTTCCTTTGTGCTGCCAATGTAAAGACCTTGAGAGGAGGTGAGCTGGGCTCTAATGCTTGAGCTTGCATGCTTGCTTTGTTCCTTGCAGCTTGAGCGCTCAGCGCCCATTATTGTTTGGCTCTGCTCAAATCTGGGCCGGCTGCTCGCTGCTCCCAGCCGTGAGTCTCCAAGCAGCAGGCACACGTGCGTGGAGCCCTATGGCACGTGCAAGGAATGATGTTTGAAGGGCAAGCAGCTCCTTTGGGGATTGAGCTGTGCCTCACTCCCCCTCACCGTGTCCCACGCTGCCCTGTGAGGATGCTGCTTGCTAGGTTTTGGGGCTGCCTGAGGTGCCCAGCAGCCCCGTGTCCTGCCCTGGGGCTGAGGTTTCACTCCTGCTGCTCTTTTTGCCCCCAGGTTCTGCGGGGAGTGCCTGCAGCCCTGCCTCCAGGTGCCATCCCCGCTCTGCCCGCTCTGCCGCATGCCCTTCGACCCCAAGAAAGTAGAGAAGGCTTCCAGTGTGGAGAAACAGCTCTCATCCTACAAGGCTCCCTGCAGAGGCTGCAGCAAGAAGGTAAAGCATGGCCCAGCCCAGCAGTCGGGCATGGGGTGCTTCTGGACCGGCTGTAAGGCTGTGATTCATGGTGCACCTCCACAGGCTGTGCTGGTTGCTTTCTGCCTTCCCCACATCCACAGTGGGGATTTCCCTGTAGCTGCCTGAAACAAACTGCTGTCATGGTGGCAGAGCAGTTCAGGGCTATGCATGTCAACAGTTCCTCTTTTGCAAAGGAAATTGGAGCTAGTGCTGCAGTAGTGCAGCCAGCCTGACTTTTTTCGTGTAACCTCGGTTTGCTCTGCTGTTGATTGGCCAAAGCGTGGTGAAAACTGCTTTCCTCTACCACACCGGTGGCTCTGGTGCTTTGTCTGACAGGTGAATGTGTTCCTGCAGCCTCTGGGAATGTTTCTCCTCTCCTTCTCCAGGTGACCCTAGCAAAAATGCGGTCTCACGTCTCGTCTTGTGCAAAGGTGCAGGAGCAGATGGCCAACTGCCCCAAGTTTGTCCCAGTTGTCCCCACATCCCAGCCTATCCCCAGGTACTGTCATGCATCACATAGAAAAATGCAGATTGCACAGATGCTCTCATCCATCTTCACTAGAAGCTCTAAAATCCAAACACTGGTTTTGTTTGCTCATTCTCCCGGGCCGTTCACAACCACAAACATCAGCATGCTTATCCTGGTGGCATCTGCAGCCCTGGCACTGCCCCGTGTTTCAGCCAGCGAGAAGGGACTGAGCAGATCAGGGTGGCTGAGCTCATGGCTGGGCTGGGAACAGGCTGGTTTGGCTTTACCGTGGGCAGGTGGGACACAGCAGAACAGGCAGCAGCAGAGGTGGCTGGGTGCATTTGGAAGAAGTTGATGCAGGCACTTGGCAGGGCTCTGAGCTTGTTCTCATTCTATTTAGCAATATTCCCAATCGCTCAACGTTTGTGTGCCCATATTGTGGGGCCCGGAATCTGGACCAGCAGGAACTGGTGAAGCACTGCATGGAGAATCACCGCAATGACCCCAACAAAGTGGTGAGCAAGGCTGGTTCTGGGTGGGTAATGCTGGGAATATGGCTAGATTCACAGCAGCCCCTGCTGGCTTTGTTAGAGGCTCTCTAGAGCAAGCTGCCTCTGTCTCGCTGTGCTCATGACCGAGCTGGTGCTGGATTTGCTCTCTCTCTTGCTGTTGATTTGACTGAGGTGTGGGGAACTTGCAGCTCTGGCATCATCTGAAAGGTGCTCATGTACACATTTAACTAGTCAGCAAGCTAAAAGCAGTCTGGGCTACGTGCCAGCAGCTTTGTGCGCAGAGGGATCTGCTGAGAGGGCAGAGGCACTTGGCATACCCACTGCAGTGGATACCCAACCCCAGACAGAGGGACACTGCTCACTTCTCTCTTGTGCCATGGCTGCAGCAGCTCCCTGATGCCCCCCAGGAGAGCTGGAGGCAGCTCAGTGCCCACATCTCACAGCTGTCCTGTCCCTGCCTGCTGCAGGTGTGCCCTGTCTGCTCAGCCATGCCCTGGGGGGACCCCAGCTACAAGAGTGCAAACTTCCTGCAGCACCTCCTGCACCGGCACAAGTTCTCCTACGACACCTTTGTGGTGAGTATGGCTGTGAGCCAGAACAGAATCATCTTCCCTGTGTCCCACACAGAATGTCTGGGTGACAAATCCAGCCCTTCTTGCCTGCCAGGATTTGCCTGTCCTGGTTTGCAGCACATTGAGGGGTGCAAGGGGAAAGTTTCTCCTTTGGGCTTTGTGGGATGCATGCAGCACACGTAGCCCCACTTGGGAGAGCTTCTGGGTGTTCACACTGGGCCTTGTTAGACACACACTAAGGCAAAAGTCACCCCAAGTGCAGCAGAGAGAAATGTTATCCCTCCCCATGAAGATGGTTTGTTTATTTCCATGTGCTCCATTAAACTCTTCCCCTGAGGGACTGTAATACAAAAGCCCTTTTCTTCAAGGCTTCACGTGGGGAAACACGAGGAGAGGGCGAGGAGCAGCCCAGCCTGCAGCCTGGAAGGTCTGGCTACAGCACAGGGGGACGTTCTTTGGGGGGCTGCAGACCATCTGAGTGGGGCGTAGGAGTGTGACTGTGCAGCTGTGCTCACAGGGACTAGCAGATGGTTTTATTAGCATCCTAACTTTGTTGCTTGGACCTCCCTGCAACTATTTACAGAGAAACATCCCCAGCCCAGGAAGGGGTTACTGACTGGAGTGCTGGAGAAATGTGTAGCATTGCAAGAAAGCTTTCCCTGGAGCCCATCTGGGAAACCATGGCCAGTTTCATCCCTGCCTGCTGCCAGCTCTGAAAGCAGGGGTGATGTCAGGAGTCTCAACCCAGGCAGGAGAGGGACTGCGACGCAAAGGCAGGGCGGCACAGCCTCACACCACTGCCTTGCTGACCATCCATTCTCTGTTTGTAGGACTATAACATCGACGAGGAGGCAGCGCTGCAGGCTGCTCTGGCTCTGTCACTCTCTGAGAACTGAGGGCTGCCGTGGAGCTTTGCTTCGGATCCCACCTCACACCCCTTTTTGCACACTCGACCTTCCTGCTGGGGAAGGCATGGAACTCGTTGCCCCCTGAGAATCACGGCCTCTCTTCCCTCACCTCTCTGGGCAGATCCCACCACCACGAAGAAGGGGCAGATGCCTCAGCATCACTCTGGACTGGTGAGTGAGCAGAGCCGTCCGCTGCTGGGAGGAGAGAGGACAGGGGACCGTTCCTCAGTTAGGCATTTCATATCCGTACACGGAGTGTATACCTGTATCCAGATCTATTTATTATTAGATGCTTTTTGGCACCATTGGTCTTCATGCTCTTTGTTGCAATTTGATAGGTACGTAAAACTACGTTGCGTTTTATGCAGAAATGCCCTCGTTTCAAACTGCAACCATCCACGTCCTTTTGAGGTTTTGGTTTTGTTTTTGGAAAAGGAAGAAAGCAGCACAGAGTGTTTTTGTTCCTTTTTAAACCCCACG